CTTGTCTTTTCTGGTTTCGCTCCATCTGGGTTCCTCGAGTCTTGACAGAAATGCTCCAGCCAAACAAGGCCCAGAACGAGACCAGAGATGAACAAGCCACCTCTTCATCTGAGATGGAACACATCAAGGAGAGGCTCCAACGAGTTCTAGAACAACAACATGAAACACAGAACAACTTGAGAGAGCTGGGAGGTATGGTTTGCGCTCTTAATCAAAGACTCTTGTCTTCTTCACCTTCCCCAGCTTCTGTTACTAGGCCCGAGTTCCAAGCAGAATCCAAGGACCCGGTCTCAATCCAACAAGTAATCACGAAACCATCAGAATATTTCTCTGGAGACCCAAATCTGTGTGGAGGATTCTTGCTACAAATCAAACTAGCCTTCAAAGGAGCACCTCAGTTATATTCTTCCGACACAGCAAAGATAAATTATTTTACCCACCAGCTGAAGGGTGAAGCGCTTCGGTGGGTTAATTCCTTTTTCCAATTTCATGATCCGGACTTTGTTTCGTTTGAGACCTTGTTAAAAGAATTTCGCCGAATTTTTGACCGTCCGTTGCAGAAGCCCAACGCCGTTAAACGACTCCTGGGGTTACGCCAGGGCCGGCGACCTGTGGCGGAGTACGCCCTCGAGTTCCGCATCATCGCTGCACAGACTGGGTGGCCCGACACAGCACTACAAGGTACCTTCCTAAATTCTCTTTCTGACCCCTTAAAAGATCAGATCGCCACAAGAGATGAGCCGGAGGGTTTTGACGAACTGATCGAGCTAGCGTTAGCTATTGACGAGCGCTTCCGGGAGCGGAAACGAGAGAGAGACTACACTTCCCACAATCACTCCACTTCCGGGTTCACGTCACCAGGTGAGATCTACGCCTACAAAAGATGGTCAGCGAACTACAAAGACCAAGAGACACCCGTTGCCGGTTCTTCTTCTAAAAGAACTGTTGATTTTTTTTCTGCTCAGCCCGACCCAGAGCCAATGCAGATTGGTCGAACTCATTTAACTCCAGAAGAAAAACAGAGACGTTTTGATTCCAAGCTTTGTTTTTATTGTGGTAGACCTGGCCATTTTCTTGCTCAATGCCCGTTTCGGGGAAACGGAAGCTTCCGCCAGTAAAGAGAGAGTTACTGGTGGGAACTTCTACTCTCTCTCCCACACATCGATTTATGCTTCCTGTTATCATTCAAATAAATCATGATCGCCTCCCTGTGTCAGCCCTTGTTGATTCTGGTGCAGAACAAAATTTAATTAGTCTAGATCTAGTCAAAAGACTATCCTTACCTACCCTCGAGGTTCCTCCAATTTCCATTGCCGGTGTTACGGGCAAGAACTTGGCACAAGTTCTTGGTAAAACTATTAAGTTAAACTTAACGTCTGGAAACCATCATGAGATGATTGATTTTTTTATATTTGAGTCTCCACACACTCAGGTCATTTTAGGTTACCCCTGGCTCCAAGAACACAACCCTCACATTAACTGGAGACAGAAAAGGGTTGAGGGGTGGAGTGATCATTGTTTAAAGAACTGTTTACGTTCTGCCATCCCTAACCAGCCCTCTGTAGACACTCCTCAGGAGGCTACAGATATTTCTATGGTTCCCCCTGTTTATCACGATCTAGCCCCAGTATTTGACAAACAGCGAGCCTTATCTCTTCCTCCGCACCGGCCCTACGATTGTGCAATCAACCTCCTCCCTGGGTCTCCTTTTCCTACCAGTCGATTATACAACCTCTCTGGTCCTGAAAGAGAGGCCATGAAGAAATATATTGAGGAGTCCCTTCTCTCTGGCATTATCCGCCCCTCCACTTCACCTGTAGGAGCGGGATTTTTTTTCGTTTCCAAGAAAGACGGCACCCTTCGCCCTTGTATCGACTATCGGGGCCTTAATAACATCACAATCAAGAATAAGTATCCTCTCCCTCTCATCGAATCCATCCATGAACAACTACAATCTGCAACCATTTTTACTAAGTTAGATCTCCGAAATGCCTACCATCTCGTCCGTATACGGGAGGGGGATGAGTGGAAGACCGCTTTTAGAACACCACTCGGACATTTCGAGTATTTGGTCATGCCATTCGGTCTGACCAATGCCCCTGCCGTTTTTCAAGCTCTTGTTAATGATGTGCTTCGAGATTTCATTGGTGACTTTGTTTTTGTATATCTAGATGACATACTCATCTACTCGAGGGACAAGGAAGAGCACATCAGGAGAGTTAGAACCGTCTTGCAAAGACTTCACGAGAACCAACTGTTCGTTAAAGGGGAGAAGTGTGAGTTCCATGTTTCCTCTGTATCTTTCCTGGGTTTCATTTTCGAGGGAGGATGTTACAGGACAGATCCTGCTAAGATCAAGGCGGTGGTGGAGTGGCCGATTCCCGACTCGAGGAAACAGCTCCAACGTTTCCTTGGGTTTGCCAACTTTTACAGGCGATTCATTAGGAACTACAGTCGAATCGCTTCTCCACTCTCTCAATTAACATCCACCAAGGTAACGTTCAAATGGAACCCTGAGGCCGACGCCGCCTTTAATAAACTGAAGTCGTTATTCGCCTCTACACCAGTTCTAAGTCATCCAGATCCTGAGCGCCAATTCATCCTTGAGGTAGATGCTTCAGACTCTGGTGTGGGGGCCATACTCTCTCAACGTTCTCCGGAGGATAATAAGGTACATCCATGTGCATTTTTCTCGAAACGTTTATCCCTTGCAGAGAGGAACTATGATGTGGGCAATCGAGAGTTATTGGCCGTCAAGTTGGCATTAGAAGAGTGGCGTCACTGGTTGGAAGGCACGGTAACCCCTTTTCTAATATGGACTGACCACAAGAACCTCACATATCTCAGGGATGCCAAGAGGTTAACCCCTAGACAAGCACGTTGGTCCTTGTTCTTTAACCGTTTTAACTACGTCTTGACCTTCAGACCCGGTTCCAAGAACGTTAAACCAGACGCTCTTTCTCGTCAATTCTCTCCCCCAGACTGTACAGAGACTGAAGAAAGCATTCTTCCCCCAGCCTGTGTGGTGGGGGCCCTCACATGGGACATCGAGAGGGAGATACAAGAGGCTCAACGTGACGACCCTGATCCTGGCACCGGACCCCCTAAGACCCTCTTCGTTCCCTCTAACATGAGAGCCAAGGTACTGCACTGGATTCATACTCACAAGTTTTCCTGTCATCCCGGTTCGTCCCGTATGCTCTCTCTCACAAGGAGTCATTTCTGGTGGCCCACCCTCACCGCCGATGTGAAGGAGTTCGTAGCCGCCTGTCCCACCTGTGCTCGCAACAAGTCCAGTAATCAACCACCGGCTGGTTTGCTGCAACCTCTGCCTGTTCCTAGTCGTCCTTGGTCACACATCTCGGTGGACTTTGTCACGGGTCTACCTCCCAGTGAAGGTAACACCACCATCTTGACCATTGTTGACAGATTCTCGAAAGCGGCTCATTTTGTTCCCCTGCCTAAGCTCCCATCTGCATTCGACACCGCCCAACTCCTTATCCAGCATGTCTTCCGGATTCATGGGATTCCCTCCGATGTGGTCTCGGACCGTGGTCCTCAATTCGCCTCCCAAGTCTGGCAGGCTTTCTGCAAAACATTAGGGGCCACCTCCAGTCTCACTTCGGGTCACCATCCACAATCCAATGGCCAGGCTGAGCGCTGTAATCAAGACCTTGAGACCACTCTCCGTTGTGTCGCCGAGAAGGATCCCTCAGCCTGGAGCCAGCACCTAGTGTGGGTGGAGTATGCCCACAATTCCCACAAGTCATCCGCCACAGGTATGTCCCCTTTTGAGGCCTCCCTCGGCTATATCCCTCCCTTGTTCCCCAGCCAGGAGACCGACATCTCTGTCCCGTCGGTACTACGCCATTTTCGCCGATGTCGACGTGTCTGGCGACAGGCTAAGACAGCCCTGACTCGAGCTTCTGCTCAAGCTAAGCGATTTGCTGATCGCCACCGTACACCAGCTCCTTCGTACCAGGTGGGCCAAGAGGTATGGCTCTCCACTAAGGATATCCATCTCAAGGACACACCCAGAAAGATGGCGCCCCGGTTCATTGGTCCTTTTCCCATCATTGCCATCATAAATCCCTCTGCTATACGCCTTCGTCTCCCTCGTTCTATGAAGGTCCATCCCACTTTTCACGTCTCCCAGGTTAAGCCGGTAGCCGTCAGTCCTTTGTGCCCTCCTGCCGACCTCCCTCCACCCGCCCGACTAATCGACAATCATCCTGCTTTTAGTGTCCGAACCATCCTCGACGTACGACGCAGAGGACGTGGGTTCCAGTATCTGGTTGACTGGGAGGGTTACGGTCCTGAAGAACGATCATGGATCCCCCGGTCTTTTATCCTGGACCCCAGCCTCATTACAACGTTCTTCCGTAACCACCCCGAGAAACGTCTCCGGTCGCCTGGGGGCGATCCTTGAGGGGGGGGGTACTGTGAGAGTTCCACTACCTGCAGCTCCTCCTCTAATTGGCTGCTGATTACCACCAGCTGGCAGCCATCCATCTGAAGAGCTCCTGCTACTATTTAAGGCTGCAGTCCAGTGTGACTCATCGCTGGAGCATTGTACCCTATTTGGTATTTATGCTTTTG